TACTACTACTACTACTACTACTACTACTACTACTACTACTACTACTACTACTACTACTACTACTACTACTACTACTACTACTACTACTACTACTACTACTACTACTACTACTACTTCCCGTTTTCCATCATCTTGCGTAACGATGAGATAACCGTGCTCGTCCATTCCCGAGTGCACTCCAGTAACCACTTTGCCATCCCCCACACTTAGCTTCACTTTCTCTCCTACCATAATCTGCCCAAAACTCACCCATCCAACCTCGACACTCTACCCCTCCCCCCACTACTACTTGACGCCCTATAACTTGCATGCTTATAGCTGGCGGGACGAAGCTTCCACTAGGAGGAACGTCCATCCACTGCTTCGCATTCACAATAAACTGCTCTACTATAGCATTCCGAAGAGCTACCACGTCGAGCTCAGGTTTCCACTCGATTCCTTCACAAGATTTCTAACAGCTACAAAAATCCCCAAAACTCGTCCTACTATAACTCACCAAACTTCCTGCAGGCCAACGAGCCCTCTTGAGACCTTCTAATACTTCATCATCAACTGCAACATTTATACCAACGCCGATCGCGACCGGAATTTTGCCTTTTTTGGGACCTACAACATTCCGACTCACCGACTAGCTGATCCAAGTTGATTCAACTCATCATCAAGTTTGTACCAGCGACATTTTATAGGTGTTTTCTGGGTAGCATAGCCCTCACCAGAGTTGGAGGAAGAATATATGTTCGCTTTCCTCAGCTAAGCTCAGAGTTTTATATACGAATTATGGTAGAAGTGTACAAAAACCAATAAGAAATTTCCCAAAATTTTCTCAGAACTTTCTCATGGTCGCCACACACGTAGCTGGACATGTGCATATTTTCCTACAGGAAATATCACATATTATCATCTACCACAATTCGCCAACTCTATGTACATGCGTGCAAACCAACTTCTTCAATCTCTACGACTCGAGTAAAGTTCACTATTGAAAAAAAGCATTGAAACACTCCGCGAAAAAATAGGGAATAACTTTTCTTGTTTTCACTTATAATAAATACCACCAAAATTCAACCAAAAATTTCATTTTCTTTAAAATATTTTTTCCGACAAAACTGCAAAGCCCTATCGACAACCCCGTCTTACAGTGCGTGTGAATTTGATATGTAGATGTGTGTGTTATTTTGGAGGACACATTATAGTGAACAAGTTGTCGCTATCATCACAGTCCCTAACGGGTGCCTTCATCACAACACATGTTCATAACCATTGTTACATTGTATATGCGATACATAGTTTCAGACGGATTCTCATTAATCCCTTCGAAAAATAACACACATTTGCATATCAAATCGACACGCACTGTTAATGATGACGATTACTCGCAATGACTTCAGCTAGTATTCCTCCAACTTTCTTTTCATCAACAATAATATCATTCGGCCACTTCAACTGTGTTCGCTTACTCGCCGATTTCCGACTGAAACACACCACAGAATCATCCAGGGACCTATAAGGAGGTGAACTCATTTCGAATTTTCTAATTTTTTGGGTATAAAATTTTCCCCATTGTTATCGAAAACCAGGGGGAAACGTTATTTTTCACCGTCACGCGCCACGGAATTCGTCCATTTCTCCACCACCTGATGAAACTGTCGATCGCATTGGCGACCGAAACTGCCATCACTTGGGTTAACCCCGGCACTCGGCGAACTTGGGCCTCATCCACGAAAATGAGAATGCTCTGCATCGCACAACCTAATCATCAGAAAATGCCAAAGTCGGAATCAAATAAATAATTCAACTTGAAAATAAATACCCAAAATCACACAAATCTGCTGAAATTTCACATATATTCTTCCACTGAGGTAACTCACCAATTGGAGACTCCCAGCAATGCTTTCCTCTGCCTTTCCCAGCAGTCTGCACATTCGTAGACACACAGTACATGTCGTTCACATCGATCGTATCTAATCACTGTGAGAATGTACGTACGCCTGCTCTCCTCAGCTGAGCTCAGAAAATATTCCTCGTCAATCGTAGTGAAATTCGAGCACAGAAACCAACAAGAATTTCCCAAAATTTTCACATATTGTCACCAACACATGTAGTTGACCATGTGCATATTCCCTCACACTTCCCTTACCGTTCCCCTTTAGCATCTCTTTGATCAACAACTGAGTTGAAGTAACCTCCTTATGATGCTCCTTATGCACTTTGCCCGGCCAAGTTGGTGAATCGGTCGCCATAGGTAAGAAGTTGATCTAATCTGGAGAATAATTTAATACCACATTTCCACCACATCTTCATAACACAACGCCTCGAAAGAGCCGTCTGAAACCTCCTGCTACAACACATATAAATCGGTCGTTTATGATCCGATGTGACAATGGTGACAAGAGAAAAACTTTATGCAACCAACACGACTGCAATTCTTTCCCACCATCCCCAACCCTAGACGAGTGTAACAGCCCTATAACTGTCCAGGGCTGTCGAAAGGCGTATAAATGTACGCCCTAGGCGTAAAGTTGAAGACGCCACAAAAAAGCATACGCTGTATGGTAGCGAAAAAAGTACTTCCTACGCCCACGAAAGGTACTCTCTTTAGACCGGTCAGCTGACTACCTACATCGCGTATAGCTCAGGCGAGCCTCCAACCTACATCGGGAGCAACTAACGAGCCAAATAGCAACTAACAAGAGCAATCTCGGCAACTCATCCCGCAACCCGATACCAAACTGTCGATGAGAAACGCTTGTCGTTCTACCGAGAGTAAAGGTGAAGAAAAAACTACCCCCCCCCATAAGAAGGAAGAGCCATACCCCACCTCCACCACTTCACAGGTACGTGTAGGTGGTAGTAGTGGTCGTTGTGACGTATCTTGTCTCCCTCGTCCTCTGCGATACCAAACAGTTGACGCAACAGGCGATACAGGCCACCTCCAAGAGCTCCTCGGGGAGGCAATTGGTGAGGAGCTCATACAAACAGATGCACTCCAGAATTTCGCAGCAGTAACTCATCATACAACAGAATAGTATCATCAGGCAGATGCCGACGGTGACGATACCAATGATGGGTAAAATAGCAGTACCGGAGGGGTCCTCAAAACCATCATAGTGATCACCTGCAACGACCGAAGCCCTGCCTGTCGCGAGGAGATAGGAAGCCGAGCTGGGCCAGAGTAAAGGG